CCATACCTGATGACACTCTCAAATACAGCCTGATATAATAAGTACATGATTTTCTTATCAACGCCATAGAACCATAAACTTAGTTGAAAATACAGTCTTTGGTAAAGCTTTTCACAGATCCAGTTTACGTAAGTGTCCCATGTTAGAGACCGGTCTATGTAAATTCCCAAATACTTGTATGACTGTACCTGAGTGATTTCTTGATTATCTACAAACACTGGTAAATGCTCGACATCACACTTGGGATGAAAGATTATTTCCTTTTTTTTTTTTTTTTTTTGTATTTACTTTTAAAATGTTTTCATCACACCACTCAACAAATGAGTCAATTTCAGAAAAATAAACAGAAACAGGATCTTGTTTGTTCAGCAAACTTAAAATCACCGTATTTAAGAATAAAATTATGTGATGCTAAAATCCAGTTTGGTTTGTAGCTACAAGCATTAGCAACGCTCACTACATCTGGTTCTAGATTAAAAATTACCAAAATATCTGCATCTGCTGCGTAAAAACCTGCTGAATAAGTTGGTGGTTTATTCTGCTGTGGCAAGCCCGGATTAAAACAGTGACTGAGCTGAAAAGAAAATGAATGAATTTATGTTATATTTGCATTAAAAACAGTCAGAATAAAGTGTTTTAAATTCGGACCACGAGTCTCTAAAAGTACATCATATCAAAAGATGATACTTAGGTTTTATTCTATTTAGGTTCCAATAAGCCCAAATAGCGAAGAGAAATAAAGAAATGCATGTAAAAAAAACACCTTGGGCCTTAGGAGGATAAAGCAATACATCTTAACATCTTAAAATAATCCTTACTGTACATGCCACATTGCTACAGCTACATGAACATTCAGGGTCTGAATGTGTTGGGATGATGTTGTGTATTCAATGTGAACTGGATCCTCTGGAACAGTGTCTGGGTATTGTGGGTTACAGACGAGATCAGCGCTTGGCTTGATTGACAGCTCTTGCATTACCATTCACCATAAGAATGAAAGTCCACAATCCACAATTACTTCTTGATTTCATAAATTAAGGACGTTCATCTTTTACACAAACTTAAATAACACACATAACACAGAAAGGTGGTATTACAGAAACATCATAACTTCATTCATTCATTTTCTTGTCGGCTTAGTCCCTTTATCAATCTGGGGTCGCCACAGCGGAATGAACCAACTTATCCAGCACATTTTTTACGCAGCGGATGCCCTTCCAGCCGCAACCCATCTCTGGGAAACATCCACACACACATTCACACACAAACACACACACTCATACACTACGGACAATTTAGCCTACCCAATTCACCGCATGTCTTTGGACTGTGGGGGAAACCAGAGCACCTGGAGGAAACCCACACGAACGCAGGGAGAACATGCAAACTCCACACAGATACGCCAACTGAGCCGAGACTCGAACCAGCGACCTTCTTGCTGTGAGGCAACAGCACAACCTACTGCGCCACTGCTTCGCCCCCCACATTCTAACTTGAAAAAACAAAAACTTCCTAAAAAAGGTCTACACTGACTGTTGGTAAAGTCTAGATAGGATACAGCTGCGTATTTGCTCATCAATATAGCATCAATTTTGTGACACTACAGAAGTTTTTTTACTGCGGCTCAGACTGATCAACATAGTTTGAATTGAAAAGAACAGCATGAACATGTACTGTAATATCTCCTTTTGTGCTCCACGGCAGACAGCAAGCAGATTGTTTGTTCAACATGCTGATTATTTGATTAGCAGCACCTTCTGATCAGTCTGTAGTAATTGTAGATGCGTGTACGTGTTATACGATCTCCCACGCTGCCCGCTCTGAGTGGAAGCCTTTTTACATTTCATTAATTTAGAATGAATATTAAATATCCGTCACTGGCCCCATCCAGAAATACCTCATGTATTCAGAGCAGCACTGATGGCGCAGCAAGCAGAAATGTGTGAGTGTGTGTGTGTGTCTGTCCTTCTGTCTGTGTGTGTGTGTTATTTTGTGTGTCCAGCTGTGCTGAGCAGCATCTGTGCAAGTCTCAGTGGGAGAGAATCTGCAGTTTGTGTGTATGTATGTGTGTTTTTTTTGAAAGGCCAAGCCCCACACACACACACACACACACACACACACACACATACAGATGGACGGGCCCTGGGCAGGCAGACGAGTCGATCAACACAGAGGACAGATTCAGCCAAGTGCAAATGCATCGTGTTCTTACCGTAGAGGCGCTGTCAGCAGACACACACACACTCTCTCTCTTGCTGTAAGCATGCAGATGCGCTTGGTAAATAGGATCCTCTGGCTGCTAGGCCTGTCAGGAGAAAAGTCTTCCCTCGTCTGACCCGGTTCTGCTCGTATCACCAGAGAGAGCAAGCGTCTGTGTGTTTGTTTGGGTTTGATGTTTTCTGCGTGTGTGTTTGTTTATTTCTCCCCTTTGCTAGAGACGTGTTGTCTTTCCCCTGCTGGATCTCTGGAGGAATATTCCTCTGTCTCTCAGGCGGGATTGCTGTCTGCTGTCCGCTCATGTGCTCAGCTCTACAGGTTCAAATGTCAATCAGAGAGTGAGGAACGTGAGGATGAGGAGAGGAGATCACAAACGCTCAGACTTTTAGCTGATTTCATTTCTTTTGTGTGTGTGTGTGTGTTAGCTTTGTTGTCTAAAGAATGCTTTGGATACACAAACGCATGGCTGTTTGTTATGCCAATAATGTACACAAAACTCAAACTGACAGGGCTTGAAATGTGACTCAAGCTCTGTGCCAAAATCTCACATTTTTAGCTTTTATATTTACGCTCTATTGACTCCTCCAAACAATAGGTGGGTGAAGTTTATGAAATCTGTCAAGAATATAGACAAGAAAAAGCCACATTTCATCCAAAAATAATTTGATATATATGTGATTTCTCAAGTTTTTGGAAAGTCCTTACACCGCTGTGCATATTTGATCAGAAATACTGTAAAAACTTGTTGTGGAATATTAAAATTGTAATGGATTTAATCTAAAATAGATTTAATCTTTATCCAAGGAGCACCAACACATCAACTACCCCTGAGGCAATTAAATTCATCTTTATTTCTGTAGCGCATTTACAATATAGATTGTGTCAAAGCAGCTTCACATAGAAGTTCTAGTGGATTGAAACAGTGTCATTTCAGTTTTCAGAGTTGATCTTCAGTTTAGTTTAGGTCAGTACAGTGTGGTTTAATTTTCACTGCTGAAAGTCCAAACACTGAAGAGCAAATCTAATGATGCGCAGCTCCACAAGTCCCAGAGCAAGCAAGCCAGTGGCGACAGTGGTGAGGAACAAACTTCACCAGTTGACGAAAGTGAAGGAAAAAAAAAACTTGAGAGGAACTAGGCTCAGTTGGGCACAATTATTTCACGACCATGAAGCATTTTTTGTTTTATTTTGGATTAAACAATTTTTATTTTTGGCAGTGTGCTGCTTATTTTAATGTATAGTTTAAAGCAGTGGTTCTAAAACTTTTTCATTAAGAACCACCTCAGAAAACAAATCTCTCTCAAGTACCACCAAAATGACCAGTATTGAAATACAGTAGCGTAGTAGGCCCAGTAAAGCAGCTACAGCTTTGCACAGGTCAAAAAAGCGGCAGATTAATTTATATTAATATGAATATTTATTATGATCAGCCACTTTAAACATTATAAATAGTTTGATCATTAACACTGTACTGTGCTTATATGTAAAAAAAAAAACTAACAAAAAAAAAAGTTTGCTTTTATAAGGTAATTAAAAATGATAGGTCTCTGTTCCTAAAAAGAAAAGAAAAAAACTGTACTTAATGTAAATTATAAACATAGTATCCTATTCATCAAATCCTGAAAATGTTGCTTGGACCTCAAATATATATGCTATATGTGATCATATTCTTTCATGAACCATTTTTGATACATTTTGAAATATGTTGCATGTACATATGACATATCTGATTTCTCTGTGTACCACGCGAAAGAAGCCTGTGTACCACTAGTGGTACATGTACCACAGTTTGAGAACCACTGGTTTAAAGGATTGGCAAAGCAAGTGATTTTGCTTATCAGTGTGCATCAATATGCAAATAATGATAGAAACTGTAGGCTGTTAATGTTACATTTCTTTATGAATGCATGAAATACATGCTGTGTGTGTGTTCTTGACATGTTTCTGTTTGGTTTGTCTAATGTCACATGTATCCTTATGAATAAAGCAAAAAAAAAAAAAATCTGTGTATTATGATCAGTTCAGAAAATATTCTTTTGGATGTGCATATGCTGTATACTTTAATTGTATACTGTTAAAGGGTTAGTTCAAAGCAAGAAAAATGAAAATGGTTATTATTGACTCACCTTTATGTCTTCCCGAACCCCTGAGACTTTTGATCATTTTCAAACTAAGATCTTTTGGATGAAATTTGAGAGATCTCTAACCCTACATAGACATGCAAAGTCCAAAAAAGGACTTATATAAACTAACCATTAAAGTACAAATAAATTAAATCTAACCATATTGATTTTGTTAGCTCACATTGCTAGTTTTATGCATGGTGAACAATTGATCTGTGCATATCATTTGGAAAAAAAAAATTAGCTCTTGGATTCTAAAATCTGAAAATGCTCTTCCTGTTTGTTTTCAGTTAAATTCTCAGATTATGTCTGTCTTGGGTATTGGGCGTGGCTAATATAGTAAACCACGCCCCTACAACTCTCTGTATTGACAACAAACCAAAATGTTGAGCAGGTGGTGCCGGTTAGGTTGTAATAACTCATCTAAAACCTCTTTCCCCGTATTTATGAATAGAATGTCTACTTTACTACATCCAGTCAGCTCACAGGAGAAAAACTATTCAATTTCCATTTCTCTGTAACTGTAACAATATGAACAAAAGGTGTTTGCAGCTTCTGGTTTGTGTGGACTTTAAGTCTGCCATGATCATTTTAATGTCTTGGTTAGTCTGAAATGTTGACGCTTAGCTTTTCTCTTCTTCTCTGTGTGTCTGTCTGCAGGTAGAATGTAAGAAGGCTCAACCAAAGGAGGTGATGTTTCCTCCAGGCACGAGGGGGAGGGCGAGAAGTCTTCCCTACACCATGGACGCCTTCATGTTGGGCATGGGCATGTTGAGTAAGTCTAACACACACACTTGCACGCTTGCTTACTAACCGGTGGACTGATGAACAATAGGCGGGGCTTTTGGTTATAACTCTGCTGGACCAGAGGCAAGTGTGTGATGTTAGTCTAGTTGAGGTGCTGTGGGGTTCATCAGACCTGATGAGCAGATAAGCGTCTGTATTAATGGCTCAAATGAAGAGGAAAATGAGACTAATGTTGAGTGCAGCCATCTGCCTGACCTCTGCCTTCACTAATGACAGCAGAACACCTCAGCTGCACTCGTCATACACAGCACACCCATGCCTCATCCTATTATCTGCTGATTGTTTATGTTGTCTATGAGTAGCTGTAAAGGGAGCTTTGTTCAGGGTTGTGCTTTATCATGAATAAACTGACCAATCAGCACTATCCTTCTTTCTCACATTATCAGTTTATTCACTACGGATGAACTTAGAAAATGGTAATAAAATGTGACAAGAATGAAATAATCTCTTTTTGATAGAAATGAACAGTACATAATGGATTGCAAAAAGGCCTTAAATTACAAGGGGGTTTGGGCAGGTCCGACCCCTCTAATTAACGCTTGATCCTCCCTGAAGGACATCAAAACAAGATGTATTAAAGGGTCTGCCCTTTAATAGTTAAGAAAGTTTGCTCTGATCTGTATCTTTAAAGAATATTAAATATTAAAATAACTTTAATATACAATTGACCACCCCTATAATGGTTCATACCATTGACTGCATATTTGCGGCAAAAATATTAATTCAGTGGTTTGAAACCGGCAAATCAGGAGCACCAACAGACAGCGCAATTGCCCGTTTCCAATGACTGGTACAGTACGGAATGGTACGGGTCACCTTATTGGTGAGTGTGGTGTACAACAGAAAGTTTCAGTCGACATCATTCTTGCTCAAAGTAAAGGTACAGGTTGTTTATATACAATATGAGAAGCATTTCTCTCAAAACAGATGTCTTAAACACATCAATACTTGTGTATAAATGTTCATAACTTTTCTATGAACATATTTATAGATGCTTATACTGTAACTGCAGATCAATGACAGTGCAAAATAGCAAACTGTAACATCTGTAATTATTTAAATAAATAAATAAATGCAACATATATGAACACATACAGCCCCTTAAAGTCTCTGATATGTTACCAACTAGAGAAAAACTACACACAGCAGACATTTTGTCCTTATTTGCAAACAAAAAAGAAAGCAAAGCAAAAAACGCTCGCACTCGTAACAACCACAGGACATGGCAGATTTTGTTCTTCTTGGCTTTGTGTCTGTACTTCAAGACAATGACAAGGTTTGTTTGAGTTTGGGTCATCCATGGCTTGTTATTATATGCATATGGTATTACGATGTAATGTCTCGGCTGTGTATTTAAAACATGGCGGTTCCTTTGTTTTCATTCTCACTTGCTCCACACGAGCTTGTGACGTATCTCTGTAACTAATCTGCATTCATCTGCGTATGTAGCTCCACCTTTTGGTACCCTTTCTCGTATTTGATACCATTTCGAAAGGGTGCCAAAAGAGTGATTTGGTACATCATTTGACAGTGGGAATGACGATAAAAGCATACCGTACCGTACTGTACCACTCAGTGGAAACAGTGTTTACAAAACGTGTTTCTTTCAAAATAGGCATTTGCAGATGTCCGTAAAACTAGATGTATAGTTTGTATTTTATTATACACTGACTCGCACATGGAAGTTAAACAGTAAAATACATGAAATCTTTGCAGTCTTTCATGGTCATCCATTAAAAGGTGCAGGTATGCAAACTGTTTATTTAATATTACAAATGTCATTAAGAACCGCAAAATATCCCACAAAACACTGAAACATTTAAACAAGTTTGTTTAATAAATCAGATGTTATTAAATTAAATGTATTAATTTGGTCTACTGAGGCATATTACTGAGCATAACCGAAAAAACTTGGCCCCCTTCCCAGTCATCAATGTATAATTCGCACCCTGATTACAACCAACCAGTCCAATCAATACTAAGTTGGGCATCAAAGTCAGCCTGTAGTTAAAGAAACTTTGTTTCAGACTCACAGCAGCAGTGCTTCACTTCCTGCTGGTTTTTATGCACAGTATGAAGACTTTTTGGGCATAATACTTAACAGTTTACTTTATTTTTTTATTTTACTGTCAGTTTTGGTCGATGATAGAAAACAGTCATCAGCACAATTTGAGTCTTTATGAATGAATGTGTGGCTAGACTTATGAATAAGGCTAAATATACAGTAATTATAACTTTAGTTTCCTCCGGGTGCTTCTGTTTCCCCCACAGCCAAAGACATGCAGTATAAGTGAAGTGAATGAGATAAATTGACCGTAGTGAATGTGAGAGTGTATCTTTGTGTACTTTCCCAATACTATGGTTAAATAGTTGGTGGTTCATTCTGCTGTGACGATTTTTACTATGGAGACTAAGCCGAAGGAGAATGAATAAATGAATAATTATGACTTTACTTTGTGCTTCCTGTAGTTCGCTGTATGAAGAATTTTGGGGTTTACGTGTCGCAGTTTATTTTGCTTTCCTTACTCATAATGGGAGCTTCGCATCAGTGGAGTTTCTCTTCAGTGCATAAGTTTCTTGAGCAGTGTCATTTACATTACACTGAACTGAACTGACCTTAACTTCAAGGCCCAATCACAGTTCTACACCTTAGCCCTTCCCTCGCTTTGCTCGTTCATGTGAGGGGGTAGGGGTGTCCCAATTCTCTTTAGTTTAAAGGCTTACGACTAAGGGGAAGGGCTAGATACCCCTCGAAATGGAGATTTTAAGGATCACACTTCAAACCACGGGGTAGGAAAATTCCCCAGAATACACCATCTACAATGGCATAATTAGTATTATTTTTTGTCATTATTACGAACTTATACAACAAACAAGCCCGTTTTAATAGATCCATAACTGCGTTCATTTTTTTTTTTTAACCCTGACGATAAAACAACAATAAAACCTGCTAAATTTCGCTAACTATGATCCCTAATAATAACAGTCCGACAACATTCTGACACTCGATGACTCTGGGGTACCCTGTCAGAAAAGTCTAGTGGCTGGAAATGAGCTTTTTACATTGTCTGGTATAATGTTAATGTTGTTGTTTTTTGTTTACGGTATAAATACACAGTACAGTTAGGATCTTATTGCCGCATTATATCATTATGATAACATCATATATGCCTTCAGTGATTTCCTGAAGATAAATACCAAAAAATAACATAACTGGAATGACTACAGCAGTCGCGATCGTCTGATCTCGTATGAAGCAAGAGATTGCAAGGACATATAATGGCATGTGCAGGTGTTGTAGTGCTGTCCCATTTTAAAGGGTAAATCTTGAAGCCCTTAACATTCTCCTTCAAGGGGAAGGGGTGTGGGTAAAATAATAGAATTGGAATTGTGCCTTATACTAAACTTTAATTTGCTAGAACTACACCATCATTCTACACTACTCTCCTTCCTGCCTGAATTGCTGCTTTGACACAATATACATTGTACTATCGAAATAAAGATGAATTGAATGGATTAAATGAACAATATTGTCCTGTACCAACTTAAAAAAAACTAAACTAAAAAACTAAGTATGTTGTCTGAATAATTTTTATTCGACTTGATTTTATGTACAGTGATTCTTTAAAAACATATATATATATTTTTTTATTTAACATACGAGTTACACACGGATCCCTCATACTGAACTTTTAACAAGGCGTGAACTTTCTGGAAGTTGTCATGGATTACTGTGGAGGAGGGTGAAGAGAGAAAGAGAGAGAACAAGAGCGTGAAGCACTCATGTGAAAATATTAACTCTGCTCTTATCTAAATGAAAGCGGAGTGAACAGGACGACCAGACAGAACTTTAGCGCAATTTGCATACAGAGAAAAAAAATCCCAGCAGCAGATCAGGGCTCATTATTTAAGGAACTGTAAGTTTCTTATACGCCAAATCTCATTAAAGCTGCCGCATTCACGCTTTTGTTTACCGCAGCTAATCGTGTCATTTATCTTTATAGTCGGGCGGCGCGTGTATGTTTGCTGAGATTAATACACATTTGAGCTGCTGCCTGCTTCAGCTGCCGCAGATGTATAATTGATTCTAAAGTGAATCTGAGCTGTTGAGCCATAAAATAGGTATATTAGCCTGAACATTAATAATGCAAATCAGAGGCTGAGATAGCAGCCGCCAGGGAGGACACAGCCTTTTTACCCATAATGCAGTGAGATACGGACAGGCCAGCTCAGCTCTTCTCTTGCCTTCTTTATTTCTTGTGCGTTTTTTCATTACGTGTCATCTGATTTTTCTTGGTTCTCTCATGTAGTCTTATGCTTTATATATGTATTTACAATCAGGGACAGAAAAAAAAACAATAAGTAAGGGTATGCTGGCGGTTAGGGGAATTAGGGGGCCTAGACCAATGCCAAGAAGCCTGTATTAATCATATAGGTCTCTTATATTTTTTCTATCGTATGTTGTCAAATCTGTCTATAACCATTAAGATTTTAACATTATTACTTCTTTTCTAAACCAGCGGCCCCCATGAACAGTGGAACGTTCCTTCCATACTGGACATGCAAATATTAATATCTAATCACAAATCAAAAGTACGGCTAATGAACTGTGCAAAGTTTGTGAAAGCATTTTTATTTGTGAATTTATTGTATTTAGTTTTGCATTAAGAAGGTTCCACTTAACATATATTTTTAACATGTAGTTTATTTACAAAAAACCTAGAGGGCTAAGGGGAAGGGCTAGATAGCTCTCGAAACTGAGATTTTTTAGGAGCACACTTTTCCAACATTTCCCAGAATACACCATCTTTAACACCAGCATGGCTGCACACGGAAGTAAGGAGATGCACAAATTAGCTTTTTTTGGTCATTATTACAAATTTTACAACAAACAAGCATATATTTCAATACATTCATAACATTAAATACCGTAAAAAAAAAAAAAAAAAAAACGATAAAAAATTGATGAATTTCTCTATCTACAATTCATAATAATAACTCTTATATAGCAGTCCCACAAACTACTTTCACATCTGACACAGGAATACCCTATCAGAAAATCTAGTGGTTATTATTATGTACTGTCATCATGGTGAAGACAAAACAAATACGTTACTAGAAATTATTTTATTTAAACTGTTTAAAAATGTGTTAAAAACAAAATCTGCTAAACAGCACTTGAGAATTATTTAAAAAATGCTAATAATTTTGCCTTGAACTATATATATTTGTTGCTTTTCTTTGCATCATCTCATTTCTTTTCTTCTTTTCTTTGTCTCTTGTAATTTTTTCTTGTGTCTCCTGGAGAATGCTGCTTTTTTGGCCAGCACATGTTGCAGTGTGGGGGAGATGTTGCTGAGCTCCTGCAGTCGTGTGAGCACATCCTCTGAGGAAGAACCCTTTTTTTAGCTGTGTATTCTCTGAGAGCTGTCAAAAGTGTTTTCAGTGCTGTCACCTGATATTGAGTGACTTGTGACAGCTTCTGGAAATCATAAGTGCACATATGCCAGCTCTACACCACGCTGTGTTTGGACTGATTTCTCAAATCTGTGTGTCGTGATTTATTATCGAGCTCTGGCGACTGCTGTTTCACTTTTTCCTGTTATGGGAAAAACATGAAATTAATGCCACATGTAAAGCATCAAAGAGAAAACATGTGAAAATAAGGCCAAGAATAACACACATCAGTCTCTCTCTCGCTCTCTCTCAGCATCAGAGGAAAACAGATGGCAGTGAAATTCCCTGAAGTTGCCTCTTGATTTGAGCTGCTGATGTGTTTAAATGCACTGTTGTGCTGTTCATTCTGTTCTTCTGATACACTCATCCACACGTCTACAATTAATACTTCCTGGCTGATCCAGGTTAAAGGTTACGTGTAATTTTTACCCCAGAGGGCAGAAAAGAACAGCAGAAACTTCACCAGTGTTGACGTTGTTTCTGTCTGTGTGTGTTTGCAGGTTATCCAAACATTGTGGCAACGTATGGTCGTGGATACACAGGATTCTCTCCTAGCTACAGTTACCAGTTTCCAGGTGAGCATCTGTCCCTATCTATCTATCTATCTATCTATCTATCTATCTATCTATCTATCTATCTATCTATCTATCTATCTGTCTGTCTGTCTGTCTGTCTGTCTGTCTGTCTGTCTGTCTGTCTGTCTGTCTGTCTGTCTGTCTCTCTGTCTCTCTGTCTGTCTGTCTGTCTGTCTGTCTGTCTGTCTGTCTGTTGAGTTGATCTACCATAAGTTGATTGATCTACCATTCTATCTGTCATTTCAAGAATTTGTCCATGTATCTTGTTATATATGTGCGTAGTAGAGAGGACAGTTGAGATATTTGAGGACAGTATTGATATGAGAAGAAAGCTGGGAAAAAATGTGAATGGTTCAGCAACGGATCTATAAGTGGAAATCAAACTAGCGCAGTTGCACTACATGTCTGTGTGTTTAACTTCTGTTGAACGTTTTATACATCCATTCATTGTTCTTTGTGGCATTTTGTCCATCCATCATCCAACCAATTAGCCCATCAATTATTTATTCTGTCTAATGTTTTGTTTATTTATCCATCTACTGTTTTAATTTTTATCCACATTTTTATAACTATTCCTCAATTGTTCTTTCTTGTCTGTCCATTCATATTTCTTTCTGTCTAGAAATGATTCATCCATCAATAATTTGTACATTGTTTATCCATCCATTCATCCTTCTTTCAGTCAAAAACCTCATCCATGAATTATTTTTACTGTCTATTCATCCATTCATACTTGCATACATCCTTCTTTTAGTCCAAAAATCATTCATTCATCAATTAGTTTTACATCTAACATTGTCTAACGTTCCATCTATTAATCATTCCATCTATTAACCATCATTAATCCATCTCTCCTATTTAACATTTACAGATCCATCCATCAATCCTATCTAACATTAATCCATTCATCCATCTATCCATCCTATCTAATATTAATAGTTCCATCTGTCTATCCTTTCTAACATTCATCCATCCATCCATCATCCATCCTATCTAATATTAATAGATCCATCTGTTAATCCTTTCTAACATTCATCCATCCATCCATCATCCATCCTATCTAACATTAATCCATCCATCCATCCATCGGCCATCCTATCTAACATTAATAGATCCATCCTTTAATCCTATCTAACATCCATCCATATATCATCCATCCTATCTAACATTAATAGATTCATCCATCAATCCTATCTAACATCCATCTATATATCATCCATCCTATCTAACATTAATCCATCTATCCATCCTATCTAACAATAATAGATTCATCCATCAATCCTATCTAACATCCATCAATCCATCCATCATCCATCCTATCTAACATTAATCCATCCATTCATCCTATCTAACATCAATAGATCCATCCATAAATCCTATCTAACATCCAACCATCCATCCATCCATCCATCCATCCATCCATCCATCCATCCATCCATCCATCCTATCTAACAATAATATTTCCATCCATCAATCCTATCTAACATTCATCCATCATCCATCCTATCTAACATTAATTCTTCCAAACTATCTAACATTAATGCATCCATCCATCCATCCATCCTGTCTAACATTAATCCTTCCAAACTATCTAACATTAATTCATCCATCCATCCATCCTGTCTAACATTAATCCTTCCAAACTATTTAACATTAATTCATCCATCCATCCATCCTGTCTAACATTAATCTTTCCAAACTATCTAACATCAATCCCTTCATCCTATCCAACATTAATCCATCCATCTAACCTTCATCCAAGCGTACATCCGTTAATCCGTCCATCCATCCTTTTTTCTTTCAGTCTAAAAATGATTCATTCATCAATTCATTTTACATTGTTTATCTATTCATCATTGTCTAACATTCCATATATCTATCTATCCTTCCATACATCCATCCATCCATCATTAACCCATCTCTCCTATCTAACATTAATCCATCCATCCAACATTCATCCAACCATCAATCCAATCTAACATTAATCCATCCTTCCATCCAATCCATCCACGCAATCTAATGGTAATTAATCCATTTGTTCATCCATCCACCTGTCCAATGTTCATCCACCCATATAATGTTAAATCATCCAATGTTAATCCATCTACCCAATCTAACAATTTGTTTCTCTGTCTGTCTATAAGACAGTCTGTAAGTAATGTTTCAACCATCCATCCTCCAGCTTACCATATGAATATGCAAGAGTCACGTAAATCATTATTATTTTGTTAGCTTGTTGTTATCTGCACGCATGTACAGTGTTGAGGATATTACAGTGTGAGTGTATGTGTGTTTGTTAGAGGCGTGAAGGTGAGCACATTGCTCTGCTGCTGGCAGATATTAGTGTTGATATGAGTGCTGTGGAGGGACACCTGCCTGCTGATATCATGAGCACAGCTAATGGCTTTTTCTTCTGTGCCTCTGATGGATGTGTTGATGGACGCTGCTCTCTCCTCAACACGTTTGTAGTGAACATTTGTGGTGTTACTGTATTGCTGTTGTAGTTAAAAATTGCCTTTTTTCTTGTATTCATTTTTAGTTAATGATACACAGCATGCATCTAAACAGTAGATGTAGTGTGTGTGAGGCTTCGAGAAACGATGCTTTCTCTTTCTCACTGAGCCCAGTAGTTCTTCAAATATTTCTATTCAGAACAGTCATAAATTATACTTGACGCGGTTGACTCATCCTGATCCATAAAAAGATACAAATACACACAAAACCACACACGCTGACAGCCTCATTCACATAAACACACACATTCGCTCACTCTCACACAAGCGTGCTGTGATCTGTGGTGAGCCTCAAACTCTTGCACAGTTACTCATCTTTATGTGACAGCACCTGACACACGAAACGCCGTAAAATCATTCACTACAACATCTGTCTCTCTCTCGTGCTGTTTCTTTAGCACTGAGACTAGAAATGAACCCTGAAGAAGGACAGCAGTGGCGCACATACAGAGTTTGAAGTCTGTAATTCTTTTTAACACAAGTCAATCGGAATCCGTGAGATCATGAATGAGCCTCTGACAAACCCAGTGATCTCTCCGTCTCTGCTGTCATTATGGAAATCAACCATCTGTAAGGGCGCTTTTGGAGAGCTGTTGTGCCCCTATTCTTTTTTTAATGATCCGTCTTTGTATCGTCTTGACTGTGCGCTGAATTTTGAGTCTAGGATTTGTTTTTCATGCACGCGCGCACGCTAACGAACACACAAATGCAGTGCACATCTTTTGGCTATTTTTGTTGTTTTGCAGAAGTAGGATTACTGTTTGTGTGGCACGTCAAAAGAGAAAAAGAAATGCACTGTGTGTTCGTGTCAGGGACAAGAACATGTTTTAAAATCTTGTTAAATCATACATGGAACGTAGTCTTTACAGGTAAATTATAGTGAAGGTCAAAGATTAACTATGATTAATCACATCCAACATAATAGTTTGTTTTGACTTTAAATATCTGTGTGTAATGTGTACATGATACAGAATGTGATACAAACACATATACAGAAAGAAAACTATACGAAACAATTAGATCTTTAAATTTATTTGTAATGTTTATCATATTTAGCGGGGGAAATAAGTATACACGTCACCATTTTTCTCAGAAAACATATTTCTAAAGGTGCCTTGACTTGAAATTTTCCCCAGATGTTGGTAACAACCAAAGAAATCCATATATGCAAAGAAAGCCAATCTAATGGTTTACAAATAAAATAACACAGGGAAAAAGTATTGAACACATGAAGAAAGGAAGGTGTGGAAAGGCAGTGAAAGCCCAGACAGCAGCTGAAATCTCTCAGTAGTTCTTCAGTAATCCTCTGCCTCTTCTTCAGTATAAATGAAAATCAGCTGCTTCAGTCCAACATCTACATTAGCAGGAGGATGAAGATGAATCCAGGCCCTCAGTGTTGGGTTTTATATTTGATTATATGGCATCTACATATATGTGCGTGTGTGTAATTCAAAAGGTCATGATCTGCAGTCATTAAATAATTATTTAATATTTCTTTTTTTTTTACATTCTTCTGAGATGTAAAACACAAACATTTCGTCTCAATACCTTTCTCACTCCACCCTCTTATTCCATAGTCAATCCCCTACAGTATTAATTAAATACTCAATAGCTAAAAACAATCCAACCTCATTTCTTTTCGTATATAAGGGATGTCTCCTCCACCTATAAAAATCTCTATAATCAGAGAGAGCAAATTTGTTCAAAGAATCTCATATAAATCTTCGTCACTCATTCATATATTGGCCAATTGATACAATCAAATCCCAAAAATCTGAGACATTAAAAAACATTCTCGTCATAAATAATCATTATTTGCTTCATTATAAACTCAAAACCCATCGTTTCCAATCTTGTGGGTAAGCAACAATACTTTAAAGAAACACAGAGAGATCCAATTTTGCATTTATTCTGTTTGGGCTAAGTGATTTAATTTATGAATCCAGAACGCTTCTCTTTGTAATTATCTTTTATTTAGATTACCTCCTCTAAGTGACTCATATCAATTCCTATACGTTCTAGCTATTGTGTGTGTACCACAAGCATTGCATTAACACACAATTTCTTCTCCCCACTTGACTCCTACATCTCAAAGAATAAAGTAAATGTAAAAAATGTGAGGGTTAAGTTTAGTATCAGGGGGAAAGAATATACCGCATAAAAATCATGACATCTATGGATGTCCTGATAAAGATAGTTGTGCATGCGTGTGTGTGTGTGTGTGATTATGGTGAATCAGAGTTCATCTATACTGTATATCTATAGAAGAAGAAGGGGGTGGCATGCGACTTTGCTTTAGGGGCTCTTTCCCTCATTCTCATTATAAAAGCTGTTCAGATCTTCTCACGTAACCCACAGATCTTTAAACCGAGCTCTGTTGTGCTGTGCTAGCAGTTGGTGTCCTCCAGTTATTTCCTGGCTGTCTTGAGTTGATGCATTTTTTTTTTAGATGCCTAAAGATGTTTCTTAAGTGTTTGGTGGAGGCCA